TCTATCTACTTACCCTTTAATTAGCGACCAACTTTGGTCGCTCATTTTAAATTATATTTATTTATATTTTATAATTTTTTTAAATAATATTATAATTATTAAAATTTAATAAGTGGGTCCCCCAATAGCGACCAACGTTGGTCGCTAATCTCAGTATTTCTTTGACCAAGAAAGTCTGACCAGTCCGGTCAACATTTTGACGAAATTATTGACCAAATAGCGACCAACCTTGGTCGCTAATGTATTTAACATAATTATTTATTATTTTCTCCAATTTAGAGACCAACGTTGGTCGCTTTTCTTGACAGACCAACTTTGGTCGCTAAAGTTTGGTCGCTTTTTTCTGAAATTCTAGTAGTGTATGAAGCTCCTAATGTCAAACTTGATTTACCAAAATGCCCATAAAAATTGAATACCCATTTTATCCTCAATCAAAAACATAGTATACTTTATATGAGCATTGAAAATGGAAATAGTAACAGAACTACGTGAGTAACATTGATTCAAGCAATCTTGAAGGATATATAATTACTACTTATTTATTGTGATTAGTGACGGTAAGTCATATAAAAGTAATTTTAAACTCTATATAGTAAGGAAATAAAATATATTGACAGGGCCAGAGCCTCTTCTCCTCCTCCATTCTTAGAATTACTACGTTCAATGATGACCATCTCATTTTACAAGTTATCTGAATGTTGGATTGGTCTATATGGAGTGAAGAAAAGCAAGTAATTAGTGAAAGAGACAGTACTGGGGAGCAATATGCACTATGATTTTGGCGTTGATTCATGGCTCGTGAAAATGGATCAAACAACAATTCAGAGCATGCAGAGGCTAATGATGAGCCAGTTTCAGTAGGTAAAACTAAAGATGTTCAGAGGTCAACTGATGAAAAGTAAGTTATGATCTAGTGTAGTCTAGAATAGAAAAGAATAAAGTTAATGGCTGATATGCTTCGTGAGGAATCGGGATTGTTATTTGCATAACTAAAGGCGCCATCTAGCTTTAAGTTTTATCCAATTACATGTTCTTCTAGATTCTGGCTAGCTTCCATGTGCTTTGTTTGTTATCTTTTATCATCTAACCATATATTTCTTCAAGAATAGTTGAAATTCTTTGGTACAACGCTAACTCTATCTCCGTACTATGTTGTGATCGATAATGAGTTATAAATTTTAGAATTTTAGAGCTTTTCCATGCCAATATTAGTGATAAAAGAATTAACTGAAAGAATGTACATGACTATGATAGAGGTTGTAAATGATGGCAAGGACCTCCATGTTTCTGTTACAATGCCTTCCATTGAGGTATGTGATTAATATTTTCTTAATACAAAGTTCTGATGTTGTCGTCGTCTTTCTTTCTAAATCATCGAAACTTTATAAATTGATTTAGTCATGATATAGTGCTTTCTAAGGTAGTGCATCCTGGTGCAGCTTTAGATTCTTCTCGTCTCAATTTATTAGTTGATTCACTTTAAAAGAAAATATAGTGAAAGCATTCTTCGAATCTCAATTGTAGTAGTTGAATATCACTTCAAAGGAATAAAAAGACAATGAAAGGGTGCAGAAACATCAGCTCAGAGATAGGGATAGAAACATCAGCTAAGAGAAAAGCAAGCGCCCCGATCAGTTTCACATCCAGCTTGGCCTCTCTGCTGTTGAGACAGAGGACCCAAATTTCTGCAGGAGTTGGGGAGGAGGATCAGAGATGCAGAGAAGGGTGTTCAAAATCAATTGGCGGAGAGATTTCCAGTTGAGTGCAAAAGGGATGACGAAACAAACTAATAAGTAGGAAACTGTAACTCTTATTACAATGTCTAGAATACGGACAATCTTAAAACAGGACAATATTGAACTGACTATTGCCTCAACCTATGTGACAGTAGAAGACTTCGTTACATGAACCTCAACCAATTATCCGATGCTCCATAAAAGGAAAGACATCAAGTGACAGTCACCAAATGATAATTCTAGCTTCAGTTGCAAGTTTTTTTTTTTTTTTTTTTCTTTTTCAAATAATGGTGGTGGCCATATGTTGCAAAAGTTATTATCTGTTACTCAACAGCACAAATACTTTTCACTCTAATTTTTTTTACCAACTCATTCTAACACCTTAATTATTAAGAGAGAGGTATCTTTATCTCGTGGCGAACTGGGCATTCTGCTGTTCATACACAATGCACACTATCTGTCAGGAAAGAAACCCCAACATGAAGACGCCCACATAGATACTCATGTTTAGAAGAAAATACTAAACAAAGTTGGTAAAGATGCTATCTCATCTCTTTCCTATTTTAATCACTATTATTGCCGAATCTTTGGACCCTCCCACTCCATCAGACATTGAAACAAGCCACACTCAATTCAGTATGACTCTACCACCACTCACTCCTACATCAACATTCTGCTCCTAAAGCTTCTCATTCACTCATTCTTTCACAAGGGAAACAACTCTCTGCAGGTGGGTTCCATCTTTATAATACTTCCCCACCTACTTTATATGAATTTTTTCGCAAACAACTTCCTGATATTAAAGTGGAAAACAAGAAGCACAAGGTGAATGGTGGTGGTATAGAAGGCCAGCCATTATTCAGTGCTGAGGCAATACTGTTTCATATTGAAATAACATGTAGCACATACCCACCAACAGCAAGAGATTAAATTTTTATTTCAATTTTATCCTGTTCTTACTGGGACTCACTTATTTTCCTCTAATACATCAATTTGCAGGGATCGGAGTACAAGAAGCAGACAGATCCTCAGAAGGATTTTACATTTGATCAGGCATAACAGTCATATTGAAGAATTCAGCAATTTCAGATGGATTAGTGATCTTCTTTTCTTTCATGTAGTGTTGACACAGAAACTTGTGAAATTAAAATATGAGCAGAAAAGGTCTCACATTCTCAACTTGTCCACTTTCAGCAAGTAAAGGTTGAACTACAGGCTGATGCTAAAAATAAAAGTTGTTTATCCCTTTCATGAATTTGATCTAACAATAAAATGCTTGAGATAAGGTAAATGTTTTCACAAAACCAGCCCGCAATTACACTGGCAATACACTATAGAGTGTTGACAGGAATATTCTACATTAGTTGAGAACAGGCTTCTTCTAGTCAGAACTAAAGAAGGATAAAAAGTTGACTTACAGGTAAGACCACTTAAATGCATCAAAAAACCTGTACAGTGTTTCACTAGATCGCAGCATTATTCAAATCTTTCTTCTGTTTTCTCCCTTTTTACTGGATCCTTCCCAACATAGCTCTGAAATTTTAGGTGGTAGTTAAAAACCTTCATGAGTTCTTTTCCTTTTCATTTGTGTAGAATTCTCTAAATTCTCCAAATCATCATCCTTTTCTTGCAAAATGTCAAAAGTATCACGAGGCAGAACTTTTCTTACGATATGCCAGCCTTTATTTGAAGGATCATCGACATAAAATACTTGTAATGCTTGGTTTGCTAATACAAATGGCTCATTAGTTTTCAATAATCGCTGAGGATTAACACTCACAAAGCCATATTCATCCATTTTAACTCCCTTTTCTTGGTCATACACATCAAACCACATACATCTAAACAAGATCACTCTTTTTCCTCCAATAAATTGCAATTCAAGAATCTCAGTGAGTTCTCCATAATAATCAATATTTTTATTCTCTTCAGGTGTCTCGCCAACTACAACCATCCCGCAATTTTGAGTTCTCAAACCACTGTCATAGTCTTTTACATGAAACCTATATCCATTAGTAATGTAACCTTTGAGACGTTTCACATATGGCAGGGGACCACGTGACAAAGTGAGCAAATCTTCCATTTTCTTACTGTTATCACATTTATACAATTCTACAACCTATCAAAATCAATTATATAATTTAATTAGCAAATACTATATAAAAAATTATGTTTTAAAAAATAGCAATAGTATATAACTAGTACTAACCTTTTTTTTAAACCAACTAATGAACTCCCTATCTGAATGTTTTTGAGAGGTATCACCTGGAATTTCTGAAAACTCTCTACAAAAAATTAAAGAATAAAATATCATTTTAATTGAAATCATGGACAAAGTATATGAGAATTATTATGTCGAATCAATACTTACTCGAGAAATGGTTGAATTTCATCACAGTTCTTCAAAATATAAATATGTGCTTGCTCTAATTCAACTGGATTAAGTTTGTCCAATTTTCGAGCTCTTAATTCTTTTCCAGGTTGAGAAAAAATTGTTAAACCTCCATCAGATTCAATAACACCACTATCATAATTCCGCTCAAGGCGATTAAACTTTGTTTCCATTGTATGCAAGTACCTTGAGCATAGAGTCAAACATTCAGTTGCCAAATATCCCTCCGCGATAGAACCTTCTGGGCAAGCCCTATTGCCAACTAAAGATTTCAAAAAGTATAGCCATCGCTCCATTGATACATCCATCGATATTGAATAGGTCCAGCAATCATAGCTTCATTAGCTAAATGAATCGGCAAGTGCACCATTACATCAAAAAATGAAGGAGGGAATACCTTTTCTAACTTGCACAGAGTTATAGGAATTTGAGCTGCTATCTGTTCTAACTCATCCATTCTTAAACATTTTGCTCCAAGCAAGTTGAAAAATAAAGACAACTCAATAAGAGGTTCACATACAGATTTGCAAAGCATACCACGTATAGCAAGTGGAAGTAAATATTGTAGAAGAACATGACAATCATGACTTTTTAGGCCTGAAATTTTGCTATCTTTAGTGTTGACACACTGAGATATATTTGATGAATATCCATCTGGGACCTTTAAGTTCTTTAGGAATCTGAAAAATTTGTTCTTCTCTTCAGGAGATAACGTGTAAAATGCTGTTGGTAGCTCATATTTATCCCCATTTTAATTGGATGCAATTCTTTCCTTATGTTCATTGCTTGCAAATCCAATCGAGCTTTTATGGTATCTTTGGTTTTTCCTTTGACATTTAAGATTGTCCCCAAAATATTGTCACATACATTTTTCTCAATATGCATCACATCTAAATTATGTCGCAACAATAGAGTTTTCCAATAGGGAAGATCAAAGAAAATACTCTTCTTATTCCAATTATCACACCTACTCTCATGTGATATTTTAATCTTTTTCTTTGGATCCTTTGTTAGTGGTAAACCATCTAAATCAGCCACTTGATCAAGTATATCCTCACCGGATAAAATTTCGGGTGGTAGTCTTCGCTCCTTAGTGCCATCAAATGAATCTTTATCATTCCTCCATTTGTGATTAAGAGGAAGAAAGACTCCTACTGACCACTATAACACTGCTTTTACCTACTTTCTTAACCTAACTTGTAGGATGTTTCTTTATTGTCAACATGGGCAAGCTAATTTTCCTTTTGTACTCCATCCAGATAAATTTGCATAAGCCGGAAAGTCATTAATTGTCCATAATAAAGATGCATGCAACATAAAGTTTTGTTTGGTTGACGCATCAAAGGTCTCCACTCCAGTTTTCCATAATTCCTTCAATTCATCCATCAAAGGCTGAAGATAAACATCAATTGCATCTCCCGGACTTTCAGGACCAAGAATAAGCATCGACAAAATAAAATTACTCTTGTCTTCTATACACTAGNAGAAACCAATATTTTAAATTAGGAGTGGAAGTGCTGAACCATTTTCCATGAGATCTGGAACATGTAATTAGGGCAAGGAACACTAAAATCTCCAACAGTTTTGCTTCCTATAGAGTTCTATCTAAAGAATAAGAAACATGCTCCTTGACTAGCACCTTAGATTTTTCCTTCTTATTGATTCCTTAAAACTGGATCATTATAACTTTGCCAAAAGGGGAATGTGCCTATGGAAAATGTAATTAGATTTGTACTTGTAGGCAATACTGGGATCAGGTTAGATTGGATGAGGAGACTGAAGATAGCCCTTGGAGCAGCCCGAGGTTTGCAGTATCTTCATGACCTTATTAATCCTCCTATCATACACAGAGACATCAAGTCCAACAACATCTTGCTGGATGAACGCCTAAACGCAAAAGTTGCTGATTTTGGTTTGTCCAAGCTTCTAGGTGACTCTGAAAGGGGTCACATTACCACTCAGGTCAAAGGAACAATGGTGAGTAAAGATTCTCTTCATGCCTGCCCAAACTTGTTTGATTTGGAATATTGTATGCTTATATCCTAGCATTTTCTGATGTCCACAAGTTCAGAAATTGTATTATCTCGATAATTTAGTAGGAACCATTTGGGACTTTCTAAGGGAGAAACATCTTCACTTAGGGGCATCATACCTTTGTGTCAATAAGACAACAGGGGCATCATACCATTGTGTCAATAAAATGCAGCTCAACTCTCACACTAGAAGAATTACTCAACAGGAACAACTACTGCCAGGTGCTGAATGATCAGCTATGACATGGGATTTTGGTGTTCAAAAATGGGATCGGTGAGTGCATTCTGGACTAAAATCTTAGTGCACTTCATTACCCCCATATACCAGGAAGGCTACCGAACAAATTTGGTATCAGAATTTTGCTCGAACTCATAAGAGATCTGCAGCAAACTATGCAAACTCACTCATGCACACAACTGCTGGTATAAAGATATATTTTACAGAGCAGTTGCGGTGGATCACAAGGTGCTACAGCTGGTACAATGCATTTGCATTAAAGTTTCTTTCTTTATTGAGTTAGTTAAAAGGTAAAGTTTCTTTTTTTATTGAGTTAGTTAAATAGGATCGTCATTTGTCATTTTCAGGAGTTTACATTTTCTCCTTAACTTTTATTTCTTAGTCAAACACAATTTTTCATATAATATTTATGTACTTTTTCAAATAATTTATTTTCATTTAGATAGGATTCACGCGCAACACGCGTATCCTAAAACTAGTTATACTAAATGTATGAAGCTCCTAATGTTAAACTTGATTTACCAAAATGTCCATAAAAATTGAATGCCCATTTTATCCTCAATCAAAAACATAGTATACTTTATATGAAATGCTACCATAATAAATTTATAAGCTACTAAACTTCTTTTCATGTGCAACGTATATGAGCATTGAAAATGGAAATAGTAACAGAACTACGTGGGTAACATTGATTCAAGCAATCTTGAAGGATATATAATTACTACTTATTTATTGTGATTAGTGAAGGTAAGTCATATAAAAAGTAATTTTAAACTCTATATAGTAAGGAAATAAAATATATTGACAGGCTCAGAGCCTCTTCTCCTCCTCCATTCTTAGAATTACTACGTTCAATGATGACCATCTCATTTTACAAGTTATCTGAATGTTGGATTGGTCTATATGGAGTAAAGAAAAGCAAGTAATTAGTGAAAGAGACACTACTGGGGAGCAATATGCACTATGATTTTGGCGTTGATTCATGTCCCGTGAAAATGGATCAAACAACAATTCAGAGCATGCAGAGGCTAATGATGAGCCAGTTTCAGTAGGTAAAACTAAAGATGTTCAGAGGTCAATTGATGAAAAGTAAGTTCTGATCTAGTGTAGTCTAGAATAGAAAAGAATAAAGTTAATGGCTGATATGCTTCGTGAGGAATCTGGATTGTTATTTGCATAACTAAAGGCACCATCTAGCTTTAAGTTTTATCCAATTACATGTTCTTCTAGATTCTGGCTAGCTTCCATGTGCTTTGTTTGTTATCTTTTATCATCTAACCATATATTTCTTCAAGAATAGTTGAAATTCTTTGGTACAACTCTAACTCTATCTCCGTACTATGTTGTGATCGATAATGAGTGACCCCTGCACCGTATGCTTTGTTCCTGCACATACCAAAAAAATGTCGGGAAGTCATATCGTCTGCAATTTCTGAAAAAGGAACTAGTTAGTTGCAAGCAAAATCATTCAACATCCAAAGACATATAGCCAATCATCTTGGCCGATATTTCGTTAAATAAATCTCAGGCATTGTAGGCGCAATTTCCCCCCTTTTTAACGACACACTTTGGCCACCAACCTGTATAACAAACAAAATAAGAAGAATAATAAGTAAGGAACATCACAAAAAAAAAAGTATAGAAAGAAAAAAGAACTATATCGGACTTACCTTCTTCTTGATCCTCCAGTGCAAACTGCTCCATGATACTTGTTACAGCCCATCTATGAAATACCAATTTGTTACATGCACGAGCTTTGTAAAGCAACTGTGCAACAGTTAAACATCCACAGCTACTATTTTTGCACAGCTACAATCTTTGCCAGATTTTAAATAACCATCACCCGTGTGTGTCCCTCTTTGAAAATCATTTACATCTCTGCATTAAGAGATTACAATCTGTGAATTCCTTGACCCCCCCCCCCCACCCCACCCCACCCCACCCCATTTTTCTTCCTTTTTGTAACTAGGCCTTATAAGAATTTGGGGTTGGCATCAACATGGCCCGACTTCTTCCTTTTACTTTTTATGTTTTTCTGGCAGTACAGTGATGAATTGATAAGTTGTATATGGAATTATTTTTCTCCTTACCCTTCATCAATAAATTTGATTTTATTAGAAGTATGCCCTCAATAAAAACTTCCACATATCCCTCAACTTCTAGCTCCTTATTTAAGACTCATATATTGTCTCCAAGAACTCTGCAAAAATTCATTCTTAATTGGGATGGATGGAGTATTATCAGCGGCTTTGAAGGGATTAATGAAATCTCACATGCTTTTCTTTAGCATAATTAAATCTCCTTAAGATCTCTCCACTGTAAATCTTGAAATTTACTTGTCATATGGTAGATGTTATCATGTGCTGGTTTCTGTTTGTCAGTTGGATCTAAAGCATTTCTATATTTCCCTAATTGATCGATTTTTACTTGCTTTTTAAAGGTAATATAAAGCTTGTTTTTTAAAGGTAATATAAAGCTCCTTCCATGCCGTTGTTTTCAGAATGGCAAGACTGAGTACTAAGCTTCACACAGCAGCTGGTAGTCCCGGGGAATAATGGATTAGAATGTAGCTATGATGTGCCTTAAAGACACAAACGACTCCTATCTTTTGTGGGAGTTACATCTATAATAGTTGATTGTAATAATTGGTACAATGTGCTTATTTTATATTTGACAGATAATATATAGAAAATTGTCCTATTGTGCACATGATGTACCAAAAAAAAGGTCCATTGATTATGATTATGTATTTTCATTTCTATATGAGCACTACTAATATTACCACTAGAACACTTGAAAAGAAAAAGACAATCTTAACGTCTGACATGTTGCGCCCGTGCATACCAAGGGCAACCTCCCTCTAGTTTCTACTATATGTAAATGGCTAAGCTGTACGAACACAGCATATCAAATTGTACGAAATGCTGTCTGAAGTGTACTGTAAACTCAACCCTCGATATTTCCCTTCTTATATGACACGTGTATTGCCTATGAAAACACGTGTACCCCACTACTTTAATATTACTACTCTAAATATCCTTATTGCCCTTAGAGATGCTGATTTAGCTATATCCAGAGGGATAAATTCGTCATTCTTTTGAACACACCAGCTCCTCTTCTCCAAGCAGCCACCGCTGCTCCTCTTCTCCTTTCATTCTCCAACCGGGGTTGCTTCCTCTCAAGCTCATTAGTCAGTTGTTCCTACATTTATTCACCGAATCACCGGTATGAACTCTTATTTTGGGAGTATTCCCATTTTTTGATGTGTGTCTTTCCTTGATGGTTTATCTATTTTTGAGTTTCTGATTTATATTTTCCTTTGATTAATCAAAGGTTTCTCAGAAACTATATTTGTTTGTGTTTAATTTTAATGGGTTCGATGTGTTTTTCTTCGGATACGGTGAGATAAAGGTTTTAGTTTTACGATTGGATACGCCAAGTCTTTCTTATTCTAGATTTTCCTTAATTTTCTTGGATTCTTCGAGAACTTTAGGTTTATGGGCATTTAAGTGATTTGTTATTTTATTTTGCACATGCGTGTTCTCTTTTGAATCTTTGATCTCAAATTCCTTAACAGCCAACATTGCAGTTTTACTTCCCACTTTGTTCATGACAATTGTTATAAGATTTTAAGCTTTTTGGTACTTCTACTTATTCTTTTACCTGCTTTAATTTTGTACATGCGTATGCTCATTTGTTATTTTTTTCTGTGGATTTTTTTTGGGTGCTTATATGGTGCAACCACGGAGTCTTATTTTCGTTTAATACTTAAAAAAATTGGATTTTAATATCGATATTGTGAAAAAAGCAGATAGCTTTGGTATGTTCTGTATTCGACTGATGGTCTTATGAGAATGATCTGGCATCTCTTTTTAGTACCTGTCAAATGAGAAAGATCACCTTGATATAAGCATTAGCTATTCTAAGCTTTTTGATTGCTGCAGATTACACCTTTAGATCTCTATTTTTGGAGCCTTTCCTTAAAACTGTAAAATAATACTTGCTTGATGAATGATATGATAAGTTGATAAAAGAAAAAGAAAAAATGTTTAAAAGGGTGCGAAGTCTGTGGAACTATTAAGAGTCACAGAACAACTGTCCACGAAGTTGAGCTTAAAATTTTTCTGCCCGCTTAAACTTTAAAAACTTTTTGAACAATGATACTTGCTTTCTGTAAGGTTTGCCTTCAGCACTAGGTTCCTATGCTTATCATAATATTCGTGAATGCATTACTGCAGATGCAAAAATGATTTTTGGAAAAAGGCCAGAGAATGCTGACAATGCAGTTGGAACATGAATATTGGAACTCCTCTGCCACCTGGAAAAAGGTATGAAATTGCTCTTGCAGGGAGTTTTTAAAAATAAAAAATTCGAAGAAAAGATTTGATAAATGCTACTGATGATCAGATAAACTTTGCAAATGTGAGGAATAAAGAAGATGATATGTTACTATTAGAATGTGAATATGATAAGGCAAGTTTTGAAAGAATCTTCATTTTACAAGATTAGATGGGATATCCATATTTCCTTCCTTCTGATCTGTTATTTGGAATTCAAAGCAATATGTTGTAGTTTCGATTTTTTTTTTTTTGGCTGGTTCAATGATTCAGCTCTATTGTTCTTGTTATTTGAAAACTCAACTGCTTTTAGGATTTGTAGTAGAAATTACCTGAAATTTTGGTGTCCATATTTCACTCTTAGGTGTTCAACACAAATTACTATGCTTTATTGATGCATATAGTCTTTTCACATCACATGGCTTGAATTTGAGTTGCTAATTTTACACGGAGCGGAATCATCTATACATGATTCAAAAATCACCGCAGTCATGGTGGTGGTCAATTTTAGACTTCACTAAGCGATTCAATAACTTTATTTAAGAAAATCGAACAATTTATTAGAAATGCTTCTGGAAGGGGTGAGAGAAAAGAGAGATAACGTAAGGCAAAAGGATATGTGAAGGATAATTTATGGATTCCACCTTGGCTCTATTGACTCTGTACTTTGAATTGCGCTCCATCTGCACACAGCCTACCAAATAAATACAGTATACCACATCTATTTACTCAATCTTAATGAAATAGGATAACAAAGCATCTACCAAATTTTCAGAACGATAAAGCGTTTCATTGGCACGACATAAGCCACCATAATCAGAGAGATTGTTGGCCGAAAAAACTTAACTAAGCTTGTCATCAATTAGTCACCTCCTATTTAGATGTATTTAATACAAACACTAGGCTT